CAAATGTCCCAAAGGACCCTGGCCTCCTCCTCTTACTGCCACCACATGCACTGGACTCCAACCTTCCTCACCCCTGGAGATGGGAAGGCCTGGAAAAAAACTGAAAAATTGGGGGGAAAGAGGGGATTTTCCCCCATTTTTTTCCAAATGGTTTTGGAAAAAAAAGAGGGGGGGAGAACTGTTTTTTCCTCATTTTTCCAGGTTTTTTCCCCTCAGGCTTTCCCATCTCTACCCATCCCCCAAACTGACATGCCAATGGCCAGGAGGACACAGCCTGCAACCGAGACCTGGACGGGCATGTCTCCCCTTCAGGGTGGAGGTGCCCTGAGCACTGGGTCTTCCTGTGCTCTTCCCAAAAGTGTACAGGACTGATTGATGTCTTTCTTATGATGGAATAGCTCTGTTGTCTGATGTTCATTGGCTAATAAAGTTTACAAAGCAATGCTACCAACTTTCTAATGTGTGGCACTTCTAGATGTGACTCTGCCAGCCTTCCAGATTGTTGGCCACCCAGCTGCTTAATTTGATCAAATAAAATGCTGCTTAATCAAGAAGTCTCCTCTTGGGTTATCTAATTAGATTAATATGGTATCTCAAGTATAAGTAAGGGACTGGGATCTTACAGCAGAATGCATGTATTTCATTTGTATGGTGCCAAACACAATGGTTTTTTTCCCCCAGGCTTTCCCATCTCTACCCATCCCCAAAACTGACGTGCCAATGGCCAGGAGGACACAGACTACGACCCAAAGACCCGGATGGGCACATCTTCCCTCTTAAGGTTTTTTGCTTTCCGGAAGGGTCTGTTTTTATTGAGCTACATATCCAGTCTTATTATCAGTGTTCTTTCATGCTTCAGGCTCAAGGGTGGGATTCAGCTGGTTCGCACCACTTTGGCAGAACTGGTAGCTAATTTTTTGTTGCCCAGGCCCATAATGGACTTCCGGAAGCGGCATACACACAGAGAACCGGTTGTTCACATATTTGAATCCCACCACTGTTCAGGCTCCATGATATAGAGCCAAGTTACATAAGGATGTGAAGAGTTCTGGAACAAAGGGAAATTGTTTAGTATGTTGGTTTCTTGCTTTTTGGCTCTGTTGTCTGATTTTAATTGGCTAACAAAGTTTATAAAGCAATGTTACCAACTTTCTAAGACGTGGCACTTCTGGATGTGACTCTGCCAGTGTTCCAGATTGTTGGCCACCCAGCTGCTTAATTTGATCAAAGAACATGCTGCTTAATCAAGAAGTCTCTGCTTGGGTTATCTAATTAGATTAATATGGTATGTCAAGTTTAAGTAAGGGACTGGGACCTTACAGCAGAATGCATGTATTTCATTTGTATGGTGCCAAACACAATGGGTTTTTTATCCCACAGGTTTTCCCATCTCTACCCATCCCCAGATCTGATGTGCAAATGGCCAGGAAGACACAGACTGTGACCCAAAGACCCAGACGGGCATGTCTCTCCTTCGGGGTGGAGGTACCCTGAGCTCTGGGCCTTCCCGCACTCTTCCCAAGGGTCAAACCACCGGGGTTCCCCCTTCAAGGTCTGAAAGAAGGCCCGGAGGAGCTGGGCTCCTCTACCTGGGCGGCTGCGAGTGAGTCCCGGCTTTTCATCGCAATGAGGCTGATGAAGCAGCAGCTTCCTCAAAGTGATTTTCACCTGCAGAACAGGCCACCAAGATGCCGAAATCAGCGACAGGGAGGCTAGAGTAGCACCGAAAGAATGGGCATAAGGACGCTCTAGCTCCACCCCTCGTTTTCCTGTTGGGTCCCAATCCCAAAAGCGCAGCTGCTTCTAGAGTGGAGGTGGGGAACTATGGCTCCCCTTATGACTTGTGGACTTCAATTCCCAGAATTCCTGAGCCAGTACCATAGCTGGATACCCTCCCCCCCCCAGTTGTACAGGCTGCAGCTTCCCTAATTCTCCACAATTACCATCCTGACTGGGAAATTTTAGGAATTGAAATCCAGGCATCTGGAGAGGATGAAATTTAAAGGTTAGGGCTAATTTTAAACAAGTCAAATTCAAACAAATTACAGCTGTGGAAAGCATACATCCAATGCTGTGCATAGCCAGCTTTCCTGATCTCCTTTTTCAAAATTAGATCCTAGAATGGAAAATGTGGAGTGTTTTCAAACCAGTCTCACAACCCTGAAAATTGTTGGACTTAAGTTAATATCAATGTCCCCACTATTCATAATACAGAAACAGTCGTTTTTCCACACCACCCAAACAAATGGGTCAACTGAGTGTGTGGTTGCCTTTATATGGTCTAACTGCCCTGGCTTTTTTAGGTTTAAAAATATTTCCAGTGAAAAGAAAAAAAAATCTGTTTTCCTTCCATCCTAAAGCTGAAGTGAATTCTACACCAACATCTCACATAGACTGCATTAATCACATATTAGGGTTTTTTGCTTTCCAGAACGGTCTATTTATATTGAGATACATATCCATTCTTGTTATCAGTGTTCTTTCATGCTTCAGGCTCAGTGGTGGGATTCAGCTGGTTCACGCCACTTTGGCAGAACCGGTAGCTAATTTTTTGTTGCCCAGTTCCAGAATGAACTTCCGGAAGCGGCATCCACACAGAGAACCGGTTGTTCACATATTTGAATCTCACCACTGTTCAGCCTGCATGATATAGAGCCAAGTTACATAAGGATGTGAAGGGTTCTGGAACAAATGGAAATTGTTTAGTCTAACTGTTGGTTTCTTGCTTTTTGGCTCTGTTGCCTGATTTTAATTGGCTAACAAAGTTTATAAAGCAATGCTACCAACTTTCTAAGATGTGGCACTTCTGGATGTGATTCTGCCAGCGTTCCAGATTTTTGGCCACCCAGCTGCTTAATTTGATCAAATAAAGTGCTGCTTAATCAAGAAGTCTCCGCTTGGGTTATCTAATTAGATTAACATGGTATCTAAAGTTTAAGTAAGGGACTGGGACCTTACAGCAGAATGCATGTATTTCATTTGTATGGTGCCAAACACAATGGGGTTTTTTTTCCCCAGGCTTTCCCATCTCTACCGATCCCCAAAAGTGATGTGCCAATGGCCAGGAGGATGCAGCCTGCGACCCAAAAACCTGAATGAGCGTGTCTCCACCTTGGGAAGAAGGCGCCCTGAGCACTGGGCCTTCCCGCACTCTTCCCAGGGTTGGCACAGCCGGGAAACCCCCTCTGAGAACGGAAGCAAGGCCCGGAGCAGATGGGCTCCTCTCCCCGTCCGGCTGCGAGTGAGCTCCCGGCTTTTCATCGCAATGAGGCCGATGAAGCAGCGCCTTCCTCAAAGTGACTTTCACCTGTAGAACAGGCCAAGATGCCGGAATCTGCGATGGGGAGGCTGCAGCAGCACCAGAAGAATGGGCATAAGGACGCTCTAGCTCTGCCCCTTGTTTTCCTGTTGGATCCCAACCCCAAAAGCGCAGCTGCTTCTAGAGTGGTGGTGGCTCCCCTTATGACTTGTGGACTTCAACTCCCAGAACTCCTGAGCCAGTGCGGTACCATAGCTGTATACCCTCCCCCCAGTTGTACAGGCTTCAGCTTCCCTAATTCTCCACAACTACCATCCTGACTGGGAAATTCTAGGAGTTGAAGTCCAGGCGTCTGGAAAGGATGACATTTAAAGGTTAAGGCTAATTTTAAACAAATCAAATTCAAACTAATTACAGCTGTGAAAAGCATACATCCAATGCTGTGCATAGCCAGCTTTCCTGATCTCCTTTTCCAAAACTAGATCCTAGAATGGAAAATGTGGAGTCTTTTCAAATCAGTCTCACAATCCTGAAAATTGTTGGACTTAAGTTAGTATCAGTTTCCCCCACTATTCATAATACAGAAACAGTTGTTTTTCCACACCACACAAACAAATGGGTCAACTGAGTGTGTGGTTTCCTTTATATCAGTGGTTCTCAACCTGTGGGTCGGGACTCCATTTGGGGTCGATCGACCATTTCATGGGGGTCGCCAAGCAAGGCTGTCCGCCATTTTTTTTGTCCGCCATTTTTTTTTGTCCACCATTTTTTGCCCTTTTCCAGCGGGTGCCTTACCTCCCTTGGGCTGGGCCAGCTGGTGGTCGGCCTGTTCCGTCTCTGCCGCTTGCCAGCTATGCCTCGGCCAGCGCAGGGGGCGGAACCACACATGCGCGGCGCTCCCGGGCAGGGAAAGTCCTCAACTTACGACCGATTGGGTAGTCCTCAACTTACGACCGGTTTAGTCCTCGACTTACGACTGGTTTAGTCCTCGACTTACGACTGGTTTAGTCCTCGACTTACGACCGGTTGGGGTCGCGGCATTAAAAAGGTTGAGAACCACTGCTTTATATGGTCTAACTGCCCTGGCTTTTTCAGGTTTAAAAATATTTCCAGTTAAAAGAAAAACAATCTGTTTTCCTTCCGTCCTAAAGCTGAAGTGAATTCTGCACCAACATCTCACATAGACTCCATTAATCTCATATTAGGGTTTTTTGCTTTCTGAAGGGTCTATTTATATTGAGATACATATCCAGTCTGTTATCAGTGTTGTTTCGTGCTTCAGGCTCAGTGGTGGGATTCAGCCGGTTCGCACCACTTTGGCAGAACCGGTAGCTGATTTTGTTGCCCAGTTCCAGAATGGACTTCCGGAAGAGGCATCCACATAGAGAACTGGTTGTTCACATATTTGAATCCCACCACTGTTCAGGCTGCATGATATAGAGCCAAGTTACATAAGGATGTGAAGGGTTCTGGAACAAAGGGAAATTGTGTAGTCTAACTATTGCATTCTTGCTTTTTTTAATTAGCTTTTGCACCAGAGAAATTTCATGCAAGCTTGGGAAACGTGTACATGGATGGGATATAGATGTACATGGATGGAGGGAATAAGGGAGTGGCTTTCTTATGATGTCTTTCTTATGGTGTAATGGCTCTGTTGTCTGATTTTTATTGGCTAACAAAGTGTATAAACAATGCTACCAACTTTCTAAGACGTGGCACTTCTGGATGTGACTCTGCCAGTCTTCCAGATTGTTGGCCACCCAGCTGCTTAATTTGATCAAATAAAGTGCTGCTTGATCAAGAAGTCTCCACTTGGGTTATCTGATTAGATTGATACAGTATCTCAAGTTTAAGTTTGGGACTGGGATCTTACAGGTGAGAAATTGGTGTTTTTTCCACATCTGTCGTTCTATCTCGGAATGGAAGACAACAAAATGCAAACTGTGCATTCTTGCCAAAATTGTTCCCCATTTCTAAACTCTAGACAGACAGCTTGCCGTGCAGTGTTGAAGCTATGGAGCTGATCAGAGTGCTAGCAAACCTTCTGATACTACAGCTTTCTTACGGTAAGAGCCTGGACAATGGAGCAAGGGGTGGACGGAGCTTTAGGTGTTTTTTTCGGTTTAAACCTCCAGTTACAGGAGTCAACTTGCATGTAATTATTAACTGTAGATGTACAAGCAGGTCACAAGTAGAGAGTGAGCGAAGAAGGCCCAGTTAGTGCAAATGGGGAAGACCATTGCTGTATTTGTAATGATAGTATGAATTGATACATTTATTCATATCAGCAAAACTAGCCAGTTAAAAATATATAATCCCAAATATGGTCAGCTTCCTTTCGTGTTTCTATTTATTGGACAACTGACTTAAATAGAGGAAGATAACTTATTAATTAATATAAAATGCATTGAGAAAAAAGTTGGGGAGGGGTTTTCAGTGTTAAGGGGGTCTTTAAAAAATGGTGTATGAGATGGCCATTGATTTTTGTCCAAACTGGTAAAATAAATCTGTGGGATTTAACCTACCTCCCATTCTGTTAGATTTGCTGCATTATACACCTTGCATTATACACCGGTCATTGCTTCTGAAACAAATATCAAAACCGGTATGTAGGGATTTTACTGTCATCAGTGTTGGCTCAAACTGTTTTTGGTGAACTAAATACTAAAGTTATCAACTTCTCATAGAGTAAATTCCATTTTCATCAATCTCTTCCCCACTTTCACTCCTTCTGCCCCCTATTCTCCCCATCACGAGGCCATATATTTTGCTTAGCAATGCAGTAGAGCAAGATCATACACATATATATAGTCTTTTAAAATACTAAAAATGCGAATCCTGGGCATTATGTTAACAAATAAAAGAAAAAACGAACACCAGGATAAAATAAACCAGCCTGTTTAATATAAACAAGCCTGTGGTTAAGAAGATACACACACACACACACACACACACACACACATATATATATATATATATATATATATATATATATATATATATATATATATATATATATATATATATATATATATATATATATATGTTTTCTGAGGTTTTTGCGGGTGTTTGTATGTAGGTCTTTAGTTATTCGGGTTTTCTCCCGCGTAGAATTAAACATACCTTGGCGACGTTTCGACGAAGTCACATTCGTCATCTTCAGGCTGGTGTCTTCAGCTTCGTGCTTCTAAGAGTGAAGATGACGAATGTGTCCTCGACTGAAGATGATGAATGTGTCCTCGACTGAAGATGACGAATGTGACTTCGTCGAAACGTCGCCAAGGTATGTTTAATTCTACGCGGGAGAAAACCCGAATAACTAAAGACCTACATATATATATATATATATATCACTTAAGATTCACAGGTAGTTTACCTACATGGGCATAGGCATATATATGACTTGCAAATAATCCATTTTATTCTACTGGTTTGATGCTCTGTGCCCACAGTCATCTGTTAACCTCCAAAATTAGTGTACTGATAGAAACACTACAAATAAACGCGATTCCACAGCCAACCACTGAACTTTTTTGGTTTCTTTGCAGCACAAAAGTCTTCTGAACTGGTCGTTGGAGGTGATGAATGTAACATAAATGAACATCGTTCCCTTGCACTCGTGTATATCACTAGCGGTTTTCTCTGCGGTGGGACTTTGATCCACCCGGAATGGGTGATGACCGCTGCACACTGTGACAGGTGAGGGCATTACAGAATGTGGAAGGGTTGAGGGAGATCGTGTTTAGATATCCAGATTTTTTTTATAATGTTTCTGCTGGTTTTTACTGACTTCTCTGTGCGTTTTGAATGAGTGTTCTGCTGCTACTGCTATTGCTCCTCACAATCATATCTTGAGCAATGCTGTTTATATTTACGGTTGAATTTCCATCTTCTTCACCATAGTATTCATATCTTTCCTGTTTTATGGGATATAATAATAACAAGAATAACAAAATCTGGAACATTACCTGAATACCCTTTAATACCATGGAACCACAAAATTTACCTACCCCAGGTCCTTGGGAAGGACGTGATAGGTGGATAAAAATGCCAAATCCAGTCCAAATATCTGACTGACTGTGCAACTAACCAGAAAATATTAACCATATGCTGCCTGACTCTGGGGGTTGCCATAAGAAAATATTTTTTTTAAAAAATCAGTAAAACATAAAAGATAAAAAGATGATGAAGTGAGAGGCTTCTCTCTCCCTTATCAAAGGCCTGGGTGAGGCATTACATCTTAATACTAAGCAAGAGCAGAGTGGGCCCCATCCAGATTTTGTGTTCGTCTTTATCTATCCCACCATCCTTTGAGATAGGCTGGGTTGAGAGAGGATGTGCGCAATACAAAGTCATAACATTAGTAGTGTAACCACATGGGTTCTATGTTTAACAGTCATCTATAATTTATAAGTGCAACATTCACACAATACACATCCAAGTCAATAAAGAGATGGATTAATACTATATGCTGAGCTTTCTGAGTGCTAAACAGCACACAGGTGAATTCACACTTCAAGATTTTGCATAAACAATGGAAATAGCTTATTCAATCACCTTGAATAAATTTCTTGAGGGTACTCAGATCTCTAGGACATTGACAGTAACTCTTCCAGGATTCAGGTGCTAACAATCCTGCTTGAGGGCCAAAATGAGGTCAAGCACCATTCCAAGTAATATAGAGTTTACTTTAAGTTGTTGTTGTTAACTTGTTGTTGTTTTTCTTGTAGGGGAAATATTGTCATATTCCTTGGTGTGCATAGCCTAAAGGGACTAAATAAGGATGAGCCAACAAGAATCGCAAAGGAGAAGTTCATTTGTCACAATAGGAAAAAAAATGACGATAAGGACAAGGACATCATGTTGATCAGGCTGGACAGTCCTGTTAGCAACAGTGAACACATCGCGCCTATCAGCTTGCCTTCCAATCCTCCCAGTGTGGGCACAGTTTGCCGTGTTATGGGATGGGGCTCAATGACGTCTCCTAATGGTAGGGATCGCTGTCTATACTCTCAGACCCAGCTTTTGATGTAACATCAACTAGGTCTAGTGTCCCACTATGTCACCCATGAATATTGGAATGTGGACGGACAATGGGATTCCCTAAGATTCCATTTCTTCATCAGTTCCACACCCACAAGGTCCTTGGAATAAAAGAAATAAGTAAGGAACTGGCATGCTGTATAGCTAAAAAAAACCACACTATAGGATCAGATTTATTGATAGCAGTGCTGTTGGGAATCAGAAAAGTCCCATTAGCATGGCAGTCTTGTGTGGCTTCATTACCTTTAATAATGGGGTGTTTTGTGAATGGCCATGGCCGTTTTAGAAATGGGGAAGTCTCCTGCAGAGAATGTTTTCAGAGTATATTTACCACTTGCTCTCAAAATACCAACTATGAACTCAAAAACATGGTCTATCCTTGGATGGATATAAAATCTCTGTGGATGGTTGCAGAGGACTTCTTCCTTTTAAGTCCTGGTGGTGCAGTGGTTAGAATGCAGTATTGCTGGCTATCTCTGCTCCCAGCCTGGAATTCGATCCTGACGGGGCTCAAGGTTGACTCAGCCTTCCATCCTTTTGAGGTTGATAAAAGGAGGACTCAGATTGTTGGGGGCAATACTGTAAATGCGGATACTGTAAATCACCCAGAGAGTGCAGTATATAAGTCTAAGTGCTATTGCTATTGCTAATAAGGCCATGGAAGTGTTACATGCACTCTCAGCTTTAGCTTATGGTCATCCACACATTCAAGCCTGCCAAGGTAGGTAGATCTTGTAAGCCCACCTTGTTTTCTACCTAGGTTTCTACCAAATAGGTGTAGCTAGAGCAGACAAGTCACACAGCCTTGGTCAAGAGCTGGGAAATAATTAAGGACTCACACAAATAATTTTCAACTCACCACTGAGGGACCACAGGTTTTTTTTTCCAATACATGGAGACCCAGTGAATTTAAAGTAACAGCAAAACTTTACTGCTTGCAATGTAAATTTGTTCTTTCTCATACGCACACATGCACCCATCCGTATTTAGACACATCCTTCTCAATTATGCTGCCAGGCATCAGCTAGAGGGACAGAAACTCCTAAGTTGTGGATCCAAAGATGACTCAAGGAGTGGGTGAGCTTTAGGACCCCTTTTTCTCCTCAAAAGTTCTTGATTTGTTCATTAGCTGGGATTGGGGTTTATTCCATATTCTCAGGCTCAACTTTGTCTGATTCAGATGATATTTGTTTGCTTAGACCTATTTCCACCTCATCTGTCCTCCCCAAGGGATCTTTAAGACAAGATTCCTGGCTTTTTGTTCTTATACACAATACAAACTTATGGGTCTGCTTCATTTTCAGATATGGAAGTTTCAGTATGCTGGCTGAGGAATTTTGGGAGTGGAAGTTCACAAGTCTTACAGTTGCCAAGTTTGGAGACCCCCATTCTAGGTCATCTCCAGGGGATGCGAGATCAGTTCTGTGACTTTTGAACTAGCAAAAGCCCTACTTTTCCAACAAGGCAATCTTTCTGTAGAGTGCCGGAGAAATTTGAGAAGCCTTCAAATGCCCAACAGCTGATTTAAGACCTATTAATATCTTGACAATTTTTTTTTAACTAAAGTAAAATCGGGTTTTTCCCAGGAGTCTCTTTGAACAGCTTTGAAAGACAACACTTCCTATTCCAGGCAATGAGATCAGCTCCGTTGGTTGGAGACAACGGAAATTATAGCTCTATGCATCTAGGTGGTAAATTGTGAAAGATAGAATTTTGCCTATTTTTTATTTTTTTTCAGTGACTTTCCCCGGTGTCCCTCATTGTGCTAACATTAACATATTCGATTATGAGGAGTGTCGAGCAGCTAAACCAGAATTGCCAGAGATAAGCAGAACATTGTGCGCAGGTATCCTGGAAGGAGGCAAAGGTTCATGTGACGTAAGATGATCCGTTTTAAGACAGACTCCTAAAGAAATGATGCCAAATTCAAATTCAAATTTATTTGATTTATATACCGCCCTTCTCCCTTGCGGGACTCAGGGCGGTGAACAGGCACATTAATAAAACAGCAATACCATAATATTTAAAAATATTCAAAACTAATTAAATTATTTGTCCTGTCCTAAAACCCACTATAATAATATAAAATTATACCCAATTTAAAATTGTAGAGTTTCAGATTTATGCCAGACCGGCCACTTGGAACAGATAGGTCTTTAGGGCTCGGCGGAAGAGGCGTATGTCCCCCATTGTACGGAGGTCAGGGGGCAGCTCATTCCATAGGGTAGGAGCTGCCACAGAGAAGGCTCTCCCCCTGGGGGTCACCAGCCGGCATTGTCCGGCCGACGGCACCCTGAGGAGGCCTAATCTGTGGGAGCGGACTGGTCGAAATTTGATGCCAAATTTCAAAGCTATGACAGAGATCTAGCCTTGAAGGCATCTTGTAGAAACATATAAAGTTACGGCTTTTGCTGACTCAAGTGCCTTCTAGGTGTCTAGATTTCCAGACATCCCAATATTGGTGATTCTGGTGGGGGAAACTCAATGTGTTAAATTCTTCTACAAGGATCCTGGATTGGGGAACATCGAAGTGAAACATTGGGGGCTATATGTGAATGGACGATGGGAGGAAATTGTTTGCTCTACTTCCCATTCATAGATACGGTAGTAATGTTTCATGTTTGATTTTTCTCAACAGGGTGACTCTGGGGGACCCCTCATCTGTAATGGAGAAATCCAGGGCATTGTATCTTGGGGGGGCGATATTTGTGCCCAACCGCATGAGCCTGGCCACTACACCAAGGTCTTCTATTATATTGATTGGATCAAGAACATTATTGCAGGAAATACAGATGCGACCTGCCCCCCGTGAAAACTTTTGAAAAAGTTAAGAGGAGAAAATACATCTCTTCTATATCCCTAACCATATCCAACTACATTAGAATATATTCCCAAATTAACTCTACAACAACAAAAGTTCCCAGAAAACAACAACAGAGAAGGAGCAGATAAAACAGATAAATGGATACGAAATTGAGAATCGAGACTTAAAGATGGAACTTAATAAAACAAGGAACCATGATTTAATCCTAGTGGGGGAAAAAATCACAAGAATTGGAAAAAACAACTTATCCCTTAAGACTGCAAAATAAATCGGAGAACAAGAAAACAGATTGGATAAAATGAATTGTAGAAATGTCACGAACATCTAACATTTATGAACATATGGAAAAACCTTTTGACTCAGCAAAATACATTGATTAAGAAAGATACCGGGCAAATAAAAAAGACCGAAGTGGAAATCAAGAAAATAGATGATGGGACCTACCAGAGAGAATACTTAAAAAAGAAACACTTGGTTGAATACGGTTATAGAAATAGAAAAGATTTGGAATATATATGTCACTCTAAGAGGGATGAATCCCCTAAATAATATAGTATACTTTTTCCCCTTTTTATTATATTTCTTGATATGAGTAATATAAAAAGTTGAAATGGCTTAGAGAAAATAAATGTTTTAGACATTTAAATGTGATTAAATTTAAGAAAATTATAATGGATAAAAATGTTTTGAATAAGAGTTAAAGGACTAAATGGCTAGATGTATTAAATGGAATATTTAAAGATTAAACATATTTTTAATTATGGTTAAAAAGAATAAGAAGTCTTGGAAACAAATATATATTAGCTTAGGAGGGATATATATTTTAAGTAGTATGTTATTTTTTATGTTTCTTTATTCTTGCTCTCCTTTTTTTCACTGTTTTATCTATTCCTGAAGAAATGTAAAAGTGTGAAATGATTCATATGGAAAAAATAGAGTTAATTTTTTAAATGTAATTAATTTTTGAGAAAATCTTAACCAGTAAGAATACTTAGAATCTTGTGGGAGAAACAAATTTAAATAAGGACTGTAACAGGATCTATGATAAGGCAACCAGAATGATTGGATAGAAAAGAAATATTATATTGATTTGATTATTATTTTTAGGAATATTTGGAAATAATTATATATTTAATTGTTATGTATCAAATTATTAAGAATTGTATTAACTCAATGTTTGCAAAAGAGGATATTTTGGGGAAAAGAGGAAATCAATTAAAAGTATTAAGTGGATTATGGATTATAGAAATCAATTGCTAGTGATTGTTTTACACAGTGCTTTTTTTGTTAAAAAAAAGGTGCCGGAACTCACACATGTCATACAACCCGCCTTGCCTACCCTACAAGGTACCGACCTCCCCCACCCCTCCCTCCCTCCCTGAGCCCCCTTTTTTGTAGTAGATGAGGGGTGGTAGGTGCCAAGAATAAAAAGGGGAGGCGACCATGGAAAGTAGGACTGTCTGCATGAGCCCCTTTCTCGACAGATGCCCGAGGAAGGCAAGGCAGGTTCCCCATCAACAGAACCAGAACTGTGGCTGTTTGGGGTCCAAACCTCCCAAAGGACCCCGGCCTCCTCCTCTTGCTGCCACCACATGCACTGGACTCCAACCTTCCTCACCCTTAGAGATGGGAAGGCCTGGGGAAAAACTGAAAAAATTGGGGGGGAGAGGGTTTTGCCCCCCATATTTTTCAAAATGGTTTTGGAAAAAAAGGGGGAGGAGAATTGTTTTCTCCTCATTTTTCTGGGGTTTTTCCCCCCCAGGCTTTCCCATCTCTACCCATCCCCAAAACTGACGTGCCAATGGCCAGGAGGACGCAGCCTGCGACCCAAAGACCCGGATGGGCGCTGTTGTGTCCTTAGCCTGCAAGAGCTGAAAGTAGGCTCAGAATGTTGCAAATTGTCCTGGGGATTCCAAAAGCTGCCTGGGACCAGACATTGTGGCGCCAGCCTTACACGCATGGGCAAAGCGCGAAAGTGCTCAATTATTATTGGTTCACACTGTCTGGGTCTCTGGCCCTATAAAAGATCTGCGTGCCTTTTGCTGTTTGCTTGGTAGTAGGAGAGAGAAAATAAAGAGCTTGTTAATTGTCACCATGTGTCTTCATCAATTGCAAACGAACTGAAAACTGAGCACTGGCGATGAAGGTGGGATCCCTGCAAGCAATAAAAAGAAGAATTAAGGACTCACCCAGGAAGTCCTGACGGGGAAGACGGCGTCTGAAATTCACGACTCAGCCTGCCAGTACAGCGTCGCTGAGGGTGAGCTCGGCAAAAGGACCTTTTCCCAAACATCAGCTTGCAGAGGAGGCGATTGGTGAAGGTCGTAAACTTTACGATGTCGAAGATAGGCCACTTGACTGATTTTGATGTCTCCCACCCAGAGAGATGGAATTCCTATGTAGCACAGGTGGAGAACTACTTTAGAGTAAATCAGATAAGAGAAGACGGCCTGAAGGCAGCAACTCTTTTGTGTGCCTGTGGACAAGAAGCTTTTGACATCGCAGAAAATCTGGTGGCCCCTGCACTTCTGGAGTCAGTAACATATGCTGAAGATGTTGAAAGAACACTTCCAGACGAAGTTATCCATCATCGCTTGGAGGCACGTGTTCCAGCAGAGAGACCAAAGGCTGGGTGAATCTGCTGCAGACTTTATTGCTGCCTTAAGGCAAGCGGCCAGGCCTTGTGAGTTCAAGGACCTGGAAGAAAGGCTGCACGATCGCTTCATATGTGGCTTAAGAAGTAGAGACCTACAAAAATTTTTTTTGCAAAAGAAGAGGTCTCCTTCCAAGACGCATTAAGAGAGGTGGCAGCTGAAGAAGAAGGCTTTGTGGCTCACCAGGAATCCTCCAGCCACAGCTACCGTCCATCAAGAGGATGCTCAAGAAGAATCAGAATCGGATCCTGAAGAGGAGGTGGACAGACTTCACCAGCCAGCTGAGAGGAGGCCGAAGGGGCGTCCGGACAAGGCCCCAGCATCTCTTCAGTGCTTCGGGTGCGGAGGACGCCACAAGCGAGCTGACTGCAGGTTCCGCTCTGCCATTTGCAGGGCATGTGGAAGGCAAGGCCACATTGCCTCTGTCTGTCTGGGTTGCCAGAAGGTCCAACCTCGGGAAGAATTGCTTCCGAAAGGTACCAGGGTCCCCAGCCAACACAGGGTGGGTTTCTGCGCATCGCGCAGGAGTATTCTGAGGACAGGGACACACAAGCCCCTTAAGAAAAAAACTTTGTATTTATGTGAGGTTGCAGGGGGTTCCCTTATTGATGGAGTTGGACACTGGGTCCGCTCTATCAATTATTTCAATTAACACCTTCAAAAGGATTTGCAGCAGTAGTGGCCTTCGAGTTAAATTCGGGCCATCGAACCTAATACTCACTGATTTCAAAATTCTAAAGTCAGTGTAAAGGGAGAGGCCACACTCAAAGTCCAGCAAAAGGATTTTGAGGGGTTCCTGGATGTGGTGGTAGTTGTGGATGAACATACGTGTCTTATTGGAAACGATTGGTTCGAGGCTCTGGGAATTCAAGTAACTGGGCTGCACAACTTGCAAACATTGGGCCTTGCAGAGGTTTGCAAGGAGTTTGCAGATGTGTTTAGTTCAGAGCTAGGATCTTACAAGGGGCCACCCATTGCACTACAGTTAGACCCAACTATCACGCCCATCAGGGTCAAGCCTAGAAGGGTGCCTTTTGCCCTCAAAAGTAAGATAGATGCTGAGCTGGACAAATTGCTCCAGCAGGGAATTTTAGAACCTGTGGATTCTAGTCCATGGGAAACCCCCATAGTAACGCCTTTAAAGGCTAATGGGGAAATCCGTGTATGTGCAGACTATAAGTGCACACTAAATACAGCGTTGCAACAGCACGCTTATCCAGTCCCTGTTGTAAGCCACATTCTGGCCTCCCTCAAGGGGGGGGGTGCATTTTTGCGAAAATTGACCTGGCACAGGCCTATCAACAGCTACCTGTTGATGAGGCATCTGCAGAGGCCCAGAGGATTGTAACTCACAGGGGGGCCTTTAAGGTCAAAAGACTGCAATTTGGGGTAAATGTAGCCCCTGGCATATTCCAAAGTGTCATGGAGAGCACACTTCGGGGTATTCCTGGGGTCTGTCCCTACTTCGATGACATCCTCATTGCTGGGGAGCCATCTCTAAATTTAGCAGAAAGGTTAAGGGCTGTCTTGCTTCATTTTTGAAAAGCAGGCCTTAAATTAAAGCAGGATAAATGCAAGATAGGAGTCACTTCCACTGACTTCTTAGAGTTCAGGATTGATGCCCAAGGCATTCACCCTGCTGAATCAAAGCTGCAAGCTATTCAGCAGGCCCCAAGTCCAAAAGTAAGAAGCAAGCCTTCTTGGGACTCTTAAATTTTTACCATGCATTTCTCCCACATAAGGCTGCAGTGGCAGAGCCATTACACAGGGTCTTAGACAAGCAGGCTCCATGGCAGTGGACTAAAGTCCATGACAGGAGTTTCAATGAGGTTAAGGCCTTGCTCACTTCAAATGCTGTTGTAGCACATTTCAATGAGCAACTGCCTGTTTGCATCGCATGCTATGCATCTCCTTATGGGGTGGGAGCAGTACTTAGCCATCTGAAGGCTAATAGGACACAAGTCCCTGTGGCCTACTACTCAAGGACTCTGTCATCTGCAGAGCAGAATTACGCTCAGATTGACAGAGAAGCCTTGGCCATAGTGGCTGGCATAAAGAAATTTCATGATTTCTTATATGGCTGCCACTTCACGGTCTATACAGACCATAAGCCTCTGCTGGGTTTGTTTACCACCAACAAACAGACATCACATATTTTATTTATTTATTTATTTATTTATTTATTTATTTATTTATTTATTTATCGAATTTATATCCCGCCCTTCTCCTTGCGGACTCAGGGCGGCTGACAATCAATTTAAAAATACATCAAAAACAATTACAAAATTTAAAATTAGTTAAAAAGAAATATTTAAATGTTGTCTAATTAAAATATGA